CTAAACCATGACTGCTGTTCTAACCACAGAAGTTCTCGCCCCACCAACTCCTGCTTCCTGGCATGGAATGCTCTTCCCCCAGACAGGTGCATGGCTCCTTCCCTGGGCGGATTCCTCATTGGTATCCCCAGCCTGGGTCTCACCCATGCTCCACAGCTGGATGCTCCACTCTGCCTGAAGCTAGCTCAGTGGGTTTTTCAGAGTCCTACTGTGTGGGAGGCTCTGTGCCACACAGCTGGCTTGACCTTTGCCCACAGGAAGCTAGCTTGAACGTGGAAAGCTGATGGCTTTGAGAGCTTGTCCCAAAGATGAAGACATAACTCACCAAGGCAACCAGTACAAACAGCCTGACATTCATGCTGTCACCCTCCTGGGGTCCTCTGAACTTCCTTCCTGTTTAAGTTCCCCCAATCCACCCACGGGTGAGGCAGTTAAGTGTGCTAGGCACTAAGTGTGCTAAAGGTCAGGGATACAAAGGTGAAACAGGGGAAGAGGAAAGACATGTCACTACCTCCCACCAGAGCAGGTAAAATGAAGCACATTGCTGAAAGTCAAATATTGGTTTGGGGCTAGGGAGAAAACAAGATAAAAAAGTCAAGTGAAATTTTTATGTGGTTGGAAAAGCTGAGTGTTTATGGCAAGAGACCTCAGGCTCATAGAGGGAAATGTGGTTGGAAGCTTTGATCATAGAGCTGGGTGCTGGGAGGCCCTGGGCGTTTAGGGGAGGGGTTCTGGGATACTGGGGTGCACTGTCCAATATGGTAACCACTAGCTACATAAAGCTATTGAGCCCTTGAGATGTGGCTGGTTCCATATGTTGAAATGACAGTATATTATGAATATATTATGTTAAATAAGATATATTATTAAAATTAACTGGGCGGTGCCTGTGGCTCAAGGAGTGGGATGCTGGCCCCATATGCCGAAGGTGGCAGGTTCCAGACCAGCCTTGGCCAAAAAAACTGCAAAATAAATAAATAAATAAATAAATAAAATAAAATTAACTTCACTTTGCCTTTTAAATAAGATATTAGAGAATTAAAAATTATGTATGTGGCTTACATCTATTTCTATAGGACAGTGCTGAGCTAGATACTCAGGAGAGGGATCAATGGGCCAGAAGCCTTTTTATCTCTTCTTTCCTCCTCTCTGGTCCTTTCCCATTGCCTTCTCTCTTTTTAGAACTAATTTAAGGACCAGAAATGTTTTTATCCCTGTGCCATCTTCTTTGCTTTTTGTGATCCTAGTGTTGAACCCACCTCTCTTTCACATACAGGCATTTTATGGCATATACAGGTACATTCTCCACTCTTCTTGTCCTACCTTACATGTAAAGCAAACATTGGCTCAGATTGACAGCAAATATATGTGAAGGAAAAACTCTAAGAAGCTTTATAATTGACTTCTAAATGCAGAGCTCTGTAGAGACTGAAAGAAGCAGCTTCAGTTCATTCATTTAGCGGGTGACACCTATGGCTCAGTGAGTAGGGTGCTGGCCCCATATACCAAGGGGTGGTGGGTTCAAACCTGGCCCCAGCCAAACTGCAACAAAAAAATAGCCAAGCATTGTGGCAGATGCCTTAGTCCCAGCTACTTGGGAGGCTCAGGCAAGAGAATCGCCTAAGCCCAAGAGCAGGAGGTTGCTGTGAGCTGTGACATCATAGCCCTCTACCAAAGGCAACAACGTGAGACTCTGTCTCTAAAAAAAAAAAAAAAAAAAATTCATTAATTTAGCAAATATGTATTGAGTGCCTCCCAGGTGCCAGGTTGTTTTAGATACTGGAGAGACATAAACAAATAGTACAATGTCACTGCTGTCATGGAGTTCATGTTCCACTTTGTAATGGTCTTTGAAGTGCTTGGAAGTCAAGGTTCTGAGGTCTGCACCATGGCCTTGATGTGCTTACAGTGTCAGTCTTCTTTTTCTAAGGGATATATGGGTAATGGGATGAGGAACAGGTAATAGATGTTTGGTACCACAAAATAAAACCATCTTCCCAAAACAACGTATTTGTTCAAACAGCAATCACAGACTCCATTGGTTTCAGGGGCCTAACACAATGAGTGAATAAGATGTATTAGTCAGGGTTCTCCAGAGAATAGGATGTGTGTGTGTGTGTGTGTGTGTGTGTGTGTGTGTGTGAGAGAGAGAGAGAGAGAGAGAGACAGAGAGTGTGTGTTGTTTTATGGAATTGGTGTATGTGATCGTGAAGGAAGCTTGGTGAGTCTGAAAGCTGATGGGAGTATGTAGGCAGGTTGAAATTTGAGCCCAAAGGCATTTTGCCTTTTTTCTTGCTTCAAAGGGAGATTGCTCTTTTTTCAGTTAGGTCTTCAACTGATTAGAGGAGGCCTGCCCATATTATGCAGGGTAATCTGCTCAAATTCCACTGATTTACATGTTAATTTCATTCAAAACCACCTGCACAGAAAACATCCAGAATAATGTTTGGCCAAACAATGGGCCAAACCATGGCCCATCCCAGTTGGCACATAAAATTGACCATCATGGAGGATTATGAGACAATCAGGAGTAGGGATGCTAGGGCTACTTAGAGATGTCATGCCCCCCCAGGACATTAAAATTAAAAAAGAAAACCTCCAAATCCACATATTGGAGCTAAACAGAAAACAAAAAACACACAAGTGTACAGACTAAATTTGGACCTGGGTCCCTAAAGTCTTGGGCTTAGAGGTTCAGTCTTTAAACATGTCAATGTTCGCAGCTTTCACATTAACATTATACGTTTACTGCTCGGTGCCTGTGGCTCAAGTGGCTAAGGCACCAGCCACATACACCTAAGGTGGCGGGTTTGAATCCAGCCCGGGCCCGCCAAACAACAATGATGGCTACAACGAAGAAAAAAAAAATAGCCGGGCGTTGTGGTGGGCGCCTGTAGTCCCAGCTACTTGGGAGGCTGAGGCAGGAGACTCTCTTGAGCCCAGAAGTTTGAGGTTGCCGTGAGCTGTGATGCCACGGCATTCTACCCAGGGGGACAGCTTGAGGCTCTGTCTCAAAAAAAAAGACAAAAAAACCCAACATTATACATTTACTTTTGAAGCAACTAAGTAGTTTCCTTCTTCAGGAACTAGGAGAACCATTGTCTGAGGGGGCAGAGGGAGCTCCACCTAACAGTGTGCAGGGTTGACTGTCAGGTGACCATTCTATTCCAGAATCAAAAGAGAGACGCTGAGACTATCTTGTGCTGGACCCTCGCTGACTTATAACTTGCCTTTAAGGAGTTAATCTGATTTGAAGGTTTGAATCTAGAATAAGTAGTGGAAATCATTCCTTACTTAATAGGTTGAATTTTTTGGTTGTAGCATGAGACTGCCTTTCGAAGCCCATCAAGTCGAAAGGTGGCGGCTCCCTGTTAATTGGTTAATTGTTGATGCCATTCCCTTTCCTACAGACTTCCTGGTGTGTTTGAACTTTTCCCAAGTCTGCACACCATGTTCATGCACCCTATGGAGAGATTATTTTTAGTCATCAAATTCCTTAACATGCTGGTGATGAATTTATGCTAGAGAATCTTTTTTTGTGTGTGCATTTAAAAAATCAAATCACAGCATGGGTTTCATCTGGGAACCACATGTCTAGGAAAGTAATTATTGCAAACCCAAGGGCACAACCGACTAGCTAAAATGGATCCAGTTTATGATTCTGCCATACTTGCTAATAAAGCACTGTACTCCTGACAGACTCACTGTGCTACACACTACGTGCTGTCCACTAGCTTCATAAGTGTCTTCCTGAATGACCATGTCATTTGGGACCTGAAGTTTGAGGGAGTTTGTGGTCTCTGGAAATGGAGAAGAGGAACGAGTCAATTTTGAGGGATTCTGAGGCCACGAAGTGCAGCTACAACGAAACTGAACTACACAAAAATTTGAGAAAGTCTGCAACCGTTGGCTGTGCGGTTACATGTAGTTATACATATAAAAGGAAATTAGATGGTAGATTCCTTCAAGGAAAGGAAGTAGCTTATTATCCCTAGCACCTACCAACAGGTGCTTTGATGATGAAAGGAAATAAAACCTTGACCTCATGAAGAAAAAAAGCGTCTCCTGCAGCTGTCATTCAATAAATAATTGTTAAATAGGGGCAGAGAAGGACGATTAGACTCCTTAAAGAGTAATTGAGCTAACCTTTGCTTCTGTTTATGCACATCCTGTAGGTAAACGTCAGCTTCTTTGGAAAGGCATTTTTCCTAGTGGGAAAAAAACCTTAGAACTGAATTGGAAGACTTGGATCTTGATTCTAAGACTGCTATCTGTTAGACCTTGAATGTATCACCATATGTCTCTGAGACTTGGCGCGTTCTGTATAAATCATTTATGAAACTATAATGGGCACATGGACCAGTGCGTTCATTTGGGATAGCAATCTAGCCATACCAAGAGAACTTGAGCGAGAGTTACCCATATGGCCCTGCAATCCCCAAGAGCAGCTCACCTGAGGCCCCTAAGTTCCCCTTTACGAGGATATTCACTGCATAGAGGGAGTATGTGTCAATCTAGTGTCCATCTCCAGGGAAATTAAAATACCAAGAATCCTGATCACAAAATACTTGGCAGCAATTAGAAGTAATAAATTGGAGATATACAGAGCAACAGGGACAGACCTTTAGAACATAGTCTTGAACAAATAAGCAAGACATAGAACTAGGTCACAGAACACTACTATGTTAGGTAATTAAAATCACATTCATGGAAAACAACCCACGGATATATCAAAGATAAGGACCTGTCTGAGAACATATTCCAAACATATTAGAGAGGATGCCTATGGAAGTGAATTCTGGGAAAAATAGCAGTACCAGAACCGATGATGAGAACGTGACACAATCACCTCCAGCCTAATGAGGAGTGAGGCAAAAACTGCCAATCTTCACTCCTTCAAAACTGGATTTCCTTCACTCATCCTCTTGGCTGTCATGGGGTTTCTTATTTTCAAATTCTTCTTCTTTTTTTTTTTTTTAAGTACTTAGTAGCTGAGTATGTACTAGCACAGATCTTCTATTTATTCATATTATTAAAACAGCAAGTAGAAATAAATGAATGCTACATTAATGAAAAAGGAACTCAGGAATGAGGTCATTAAATATAACTAACTACATTTGAAATATCTATACCATGTATTTCCCTGATTCATATCAGGTAAATACCTAATCTATCTACCCAGAATTCTGGTCTCAGTGAAAATAGTCAGAGACAAGCACAAAGAAGGTGCTTTATATCGTCAGGTCCATCTTAAAAATGATGAAATCCTTTGGGAAAATCATTTTAGTCTTTCTTTTTATCAGAGATTTCTGCTGGTCCTCTTGTTGGTAATCCATTTATGTCTCCACCCTTACAGTCTACTTTGCCTTTATTTTTATCGTTGGATTCTTGTATAGCTTTTCTAGGCCATATACGACTAACAAAAGGGGCAATCAGAGGGTATATGTATGGTTCCAGGAATTTTTTGTAGTCCCAGAGCAGAACCGGAATGACGATACAAGGAATGCACACCATTGTAGCAGGCTTGAGCTCCGGTGATCGCGGAGCCGAAATGCCTATGTCCGCACTTCCGGAGGGAGTCAAATTATTCTTTGGGAGTCCACAGCCATGGCTTTTCCTATATTCTGTTGAGAGAGAACCATCAATAAAACTTACAGTTCAATGTATGGTTTGCAAATTTCCTTTTGTTCTTTAGATATGCTACCTACTCAAATTAAATAACTGTCACATCAGCTTAAGAACCACCTAATGGCTTTTTATCTCACCATGCTGCTTTTCATTCTTTCCAAAGTCACCACTACCAGATATTTGCTTCTTTATTGACTCTATCCCCAATTTAAATAACATTTACCTATCTTAGTGCCACAAAAGGTGGCTGCCACATAGTAGGTGCTGTGAAAATGTTTGTTGAGTAAAAGAGCATGATTCATGCAGATCTCTGCATGTGAGGTCCGAAAAACAAGGAACGTAAATATAAGGGATTGTTGTAGATTCTTTCTCCCTTGCTAATTTGTCTATTCTTTTATTATACAACCCCATGACTTACTTTGCATCACATATGCCTAGTTATAAAGGTATCTATTTCTCCTACTAGGTTGTGGGTCTCTGAAAAGAATGAAATGTGTTTTTAATTTTTCTTATCTCTTAGAGGATTTAAAATAAAACTTGATATTCTGAGTACTAGATATATATCAGATTGAACTGAACCTGAATGATACAAATGAGAGGGGTGTGTGTGTGTGTGTGTTAGAGAGACACTGAGAGAGACAGAGAGAACGTTCGTGTGGGCCTGTTTAGGTACATTTTGTGCCAATGATATTTAGACTAATTTTGAGGGCCTGCTTACATTTAGAAAGTGTGAATTTGGCCAGATATCAAATTTCTGGCCCATGTTATCATAACAGCCTGAATTCTGCAGAACCTGAAACAACCTAGACAAAATGTGACCAGGTCATCTACTTAAGACAGTATATACTCAATTTATATAACACTGTGCTCTTTTTACATGAAGAGCAGTAACATAAAAGAGTTAAAGGGGGTCAAGGTCATAAAAATCAGGGTTACTCCAATATTTAACTGGAGTGGGTGGGACAGATAGGCCGAGCTCCTTGAGGACTGACCCTATGTCCTGCTGATTTGTCCCTGCAGTGACTAGCGCAGTGCATAGGGAATACTTAACAAAAGCTTGCTAAATGATGGATTAAAGGAAAAAATGGAGAAATGAAAAGTAATGAGATTGATTCTTTGCATGACTCATAAATTGGCTCAGAAGCCATTGGCTCAGAAGAAACTCAATTGAAGAGTTCCAAAAATGCATCATTGGCCTAAATACGTGATCTCTATAGAACACACATTTAGCTGTAGAAGTGGTATTTGCTATTCATCGGCACCATCTTCCAGTCTCCCAGGCTAGAAACTTAAGAAGTGCACATGAGTCATCCACTGTTCTCCCCTCCCATATCTAAGCATTAATTCCTGCCAGCTCTACCTCGAGAATAGCCTCAGCCCATTGCCTTATTGTCTAATTTCTACACCACAGCTGCCAATCTTTCCTCTTTGCAATCTATCCTCCCCCAACTCGTCAAAGTTATTCTCCTGCAGCTAATAAATCAAACTAGATGGACTGGCTGAGTTTAGATAGAAACTTCTTCTATCTTATGATTGTGCTATGATTTGGATATGTCCCCCCAAATTCACATGTTGGAAATTTAATACCCAATGCAACAGTGTTGAGAAGTCCTTTAAGAGTTGATTAGGTCATGAAGGCTTTGGCCTCAGGAATGGATTAATGCTATTATTGTGGAGGTGGGTTAGTTATTACAGGAGTGGGTTCTTGATGAAAGGATGCCTCCTCTCCCTCCCTCCCTCTTGTGCACGCATGCTCTTTGCTCGTCTGCTTTCTACCATGAGATCTGAGCCCCTTGGACTTCTCAGCCTCAAGAACCATAAGAAACAGATCCTTGTTCTTTATTAATTACTCAGTTTCAGGTATTCTGTTACAGCAGCACAAAATGGACTAAGGCTATCTTTTTAAAACTGCTTTCTCAAATTTTTCTTCTGGTTACCATCAGGTATTGAAAAGTTCAGTCCAATCTAATTATCAGAACTTCAGTTTCTTACCCAAAGGTAAGTTTTCCATCCCACTAGTGGGAGCCATACCCAGACTTGGAAACATGGGAAGAAGGGAATTAGTCATTTTTTTTTCTCTGTTTCACCTCTTTTTGCACTAACTGTGCCTAGGAGAGAAGGGATTAGAGAAAAAGAGGCCAGGCTTTTTGTGGCTCTTGCGGCTGTAATCATAACGCCCTCAGTGAGTGGCAGATCTAATGGATATTTCTCCAGTGGGAAGCTTTTTGAGGATTTCTTTAGAGACCCTTCCTCCCTCAGACCTCCTACTTGGACATTCCCTTGCCTGGACAATGCCCACTTTAGCTAGGCTCTTAAAGTTTCCCCTGAGGTTTTTTTTTTAACCTGGATTCCAGCAGATCACTTTCTATGTTTCTTGTGTTGGAATGATCTAGAAGGGCCTCTTAGATGGGGGTTTCTAAGATGACTCAAGTCCACCTGTTTTCCTCCTGTCTACCTGGCACAAACTTCCCCACTGTTTCTGTAAATGCACTTTGTTCCTGCTGGAACTCACAGGCTTTGCTCTGCTGCCCAAGGTACCACCAGCCAGTCTTCCACTGAAAACTCTTCTCCAGTGAAATCAGAAGGCAGCCTCTCCATCCCTTCACTTAGCCTCCGCTAGGCAGCCAGGAGATGTGTGGAAGTCTAGTCATGGCAGAACTGGCTTGAGGCCACTGTCTTTGAGAGTCCTGCCTAGATAGTCTTATGCCTCACTTAGGATCTGGAGAGGGGGACTTACACCTATTGTTCTCAGCTTTGGAGTCTCAGCCAAAACTATGAGAAAGGAAAAGACCTATTTTAACATGCTGTTACATTCCTTTAAAGACGGCAGATACCGTTTTGTTTTGTTTTAATTAACTGTTCCAAGTTTACAATGCTTGATTTTTGAAGTCCAGACTCAGAAGAGACATCTGAAATGGATCACTGGACCCCCATCATTTTGCAAATGAGAAAGCAAAACCCAAGGAATCTGATGGATTTACCGAAGATCATACAGCTAGAAATGACCAGTCCAGGGCTTGATCCTAGATCATTGGCTTCTAAATCTTATGTTCTTCCCACCACATTATTTTGCCTAAAATGCCTCTCCTTAGAGTGACCAGAGACGTTTGCTCCTGAAACAAAGCTACTTGTACATAAGGATCAAATGAATATAATAGGCTTTTAATGATTTTCAAAACACCTGTGGGAATGGAGTGGTGCCTGTGGCTCAAAAGGATAGGGCACCGGCCCCATATGCTGGAGGTGGTGGGTTCAAACCCAGCCCTGGCCAAAAAAAAAAAAACCATCTGTAGAGAAAGAAAGCCAATGAACTGGATGCTATGATTATAGTTGATTTTAATTTTTTATCTTGTCTATATTTTCTAAACTTTTTCTGATAATTACATGTTTCTTTAAGGAAACAAAATACATAAAATTATTCCTTTTAAATGTAAGTCTCTATTGCAGGAAATAATTCCATATAAATGAAAACAACTGTATTTATACCGTTTTTAGAAAGTGTATTGGAGTAGGTGGAATAATGAGATCTGAGTTTCAGTCCTGGTTCTGGTTAACGGTATAATCTTGAGTCAGTCACTTGACCTCTTTAGGATTCATTTTCTCTAATGTAATATAGGGAATCTGGACTACACAAAATCTAAGCTACTTTCTAATTCTGAAAAGAAAAATTACTTCTTCGCAGCTCTGTGTCAAGCAATTATGAGAACTTACATGAAGAAAATCTCAAAATATAAAGCTTCATGTAAATTTATGATAATAAAAGACCACGACTTTGCTTCAGTTTTCTGTCATGAACCCTCCCGTCAAGTGAGAGCAGCCTTGACATTTTATCCAAGTAAATCACTTCTAAGTGCATTCACCCTCGAAGTGTCCCCTTATCCTCAGGTCTTATCTCTCCCATGAAGTCTCCTTGACTACCAGAACCCTGATGGCCCCCCATTCCAGTTCCCACAGACTTTCAGCCTGCCCTACACTATTTAGCCCTTCCCTGTTGTACACTGTAATTCCCCGTGTGCTCTGTTTTTCTCCAGTGCGTTGTCTGCACATGGCAGCCACGCTCACTCTCTCTGTTTTCCCCCCATCCTGGCTCAACACAGGCCCAGCATGCAGGGGCCTCCATTTATGCTTGTTTAGTGAGAAGTGTCTATTAGAAGGAGAAGGTTCTAAAAGGTCCAATTAGAGGCAAAAGTCCATGAGGTTTCAGAGATCCCTGGAGCAGAGTCTCCATGACAGCCGATCTAGATTCTAGAAGACAATTCAATTTATTCCTTTTCCTCAATCTCCCTTTGGGTCTTTCTCCAGCCTGGCCCCAGCCAAGGCTGACTCAGGGTTGCTTTTCTGTTGCTGTTACTTCCTGGAATTGGACCCATGGTTTGAACCTCCTCTGGAAAAGGGATCACAAGTGTCTCCTTACACTGCTGGCTCCAGGCCACCTTACTTGGGCCAGGCTGAGGGAGTGAAGTTGGCCAGAGCACTCAACTATCTGGGGTATGCTTTGGGCCTCTTGGCTGACAAGGCCAAAACACTTGGTCAGCTTTGCTGATTTTCTCTCTCCCTAGGACCTGGGGAGAAAGGAGAAACAGCCTTCTCTCTTCCCACTCTGTTTGGCTGGTCCCATCCATCCCTCTTCCTTCCTGCACGCCTCCTCCTCTCTCCATGTCACAGCCTTCATTTTCTGTCTGTGATCCCTGTCCCTCTGGCTGTCTTTCTGACTTTCAGCTTTAAGTTTTAGGCCTCTCTTTTTCATCTCCTCTTCTTTCCCACCCAGCGCCCTCTCTGTCAGGTAGAGCGCCCTCTACCTTTCTGTGGCTGGCCGTCTCCACATTGTTCCCTGCCCACATGCGGACAGTGTGCAAGGAGGTGGACTGCCACTCTCCTGGTCAGCTGGGGAACTAGGGTAGTTTCCATACGTTTTCCTCATTCTAAGATCTGGGCAAAAGAATGC